GAAGCATGTAGTTAACAAGTGATACTATTTGCTAGAGCAAAGCATAAGTAGAAAGATTGATGATCACCATTAGTAGACACAGATCATGGCAGTAAGACCTGGCTTCTAGATTGTGTTGTAGTGGTTGTACATTATCAAGGCAGGAGTGAAGAGTCAAAATAAGAACCTTGAAACTGGAGCATGAGATTCAAGTGGCTTACAAATGACAAAGGTAAGGGCAGGCCAGTTCCTTGGGTAGGATTGTAAGGCTAGAGAGGAATTAGCAGCAGCACAGTTGACTTAATTTGAGATCAGCTGAACTTCTGAACTTATCAGACAAATGAATAAAACAAGAATCTTGCTCTTAAGGAGTTTACAGTCTATTGAAAGAACAAACATCTAAATTATGTAGTAAGCTACAGTCTAGGAAAGAGCAAACAGATATAATAAATTGTATAGTAAGCTAGGAAATAAGTGCTGTGAAGAGGAAACAGGAGAAAGGATAGGGGAGGTTAGGTTATGTGAAGGAATAAAACACAAATTTGGAGAAAGGACATTCCAGGTGAAAGGAACAGCCTTTGTGATTGTCCAGATGCTGGGCACAGTATCTCATGCTTATAATTGTAGCTGCTCAGGAGGCAAAGATCCAAAGAGTTACAGTGTCAGGCCAGCTGAGGAAGAAAGTTCTCAAGACCGCATCTCAACCAATAAATTCCAGGCATGGTGGTGCCCATCAGTTATCCCAACTAAATGGAGAATCATAGTCTCAGCCAGCCTGAGACTGGTATAAATGTGAGATCCTGTTTGAAAAATAAAGAGGGTTAGCGTGTGGCTCAAATGGTAGTCTGCTTAACAAGCACACAAGCTCACCAGTACCACCAGAAAATTTTTAAATAACTGTTTAAAAGAAGGAAGAATGGTATATTTAGAGAGAAATTAGTGAAATTAGGAATACATAGTGTTTTGCTAAATAAGTTGTACAGTCTTCAGATTGATCTTTTGTGAGAATCCTTAGAGGTCAGTGTATTTAATTATGCTTTACTTAATTTAACATACTCCATTATAGTTGGCAGGCTAAATAGTTGAAGTACATAGAGAAAAAAATATCCTAAAAGACATGAGTAGGATCAATCAGATTATGGACACACTTAATCTGTGAATATTTCCTAAACTTTTTCTCTCTACCTAATGCTAAATGTGGCTGAGTCTTAATTATTAATTACTCTTAATGACCCTCAAGAGAAGCTTCATGTGGATAATCCCAAACATGAATTAAATAAATTGAAATTTGCTGTTAAATCTCACAGTTTTGACAACTTTTATATAATCTAATTAGCTATAATGTTTTCTTGACTTACTGGAATTGATTTTTCCATAGGCTTACTAGTTGTAATTTTCTGTGAATTGCCAGTTTATCTCTTCCTTTGCTATTTTATTTGAGTCTTGATATTTTTGGTTTTTATTCTATTTCTGTATAATTGGTGAATAATGTAATGTTATGCTTTTTTTTTTCACCAAGGCTTTTAAAGAAGCAATTTTTTCATCGAGCTCTAAAGGTAATGAAAATGAAATATGAAAAAGACATCAAGAAAGATAAAGATAAAGGAAAAGCCGAAAGTGGAAAAGAAGAAGATAAAAAGAGCAAGAAAGAAAATATGAAGGAAGAAAAGACAAAAAAAGAAAAAGAGAAAAAAAAAGATGGTGAAAAGGAAGAATCCAAAAAGGTAAATTCAATTAAAATTAAGTAAAAATTTAAAAACCAGTGTATTCACATGTTCTCTGCCAGCATATGAACATATTTAAAATTTTAATCAAGAATCATTTGAGATAACCTTGTTAGGATTATTATCAGTACCACAGTTGAGAATTTTTACTTGTATTACAAATACAAAAATTTGACTATGTGAGTTTCATACTAATTTTGCTTTGTTATAAGTGTTATTTCTTCTACTCAACTTATGTTTTTATAGGAGGAAACTCCAGGAACTCCCAAAAAGAAAGAAACTAAGAAAAAATTCAAACTTGAACCACATGATGATCAAGTTTTTCTGGATGGAAATGAGGTAAGATTATATTAGATTAGAGTAGATTATGACTAAAAATCCAGTTTTTTTATAGAAAATTTTAGAAATATGTTTGATGCCCTCATTAAGAAATTATTTAGGTAAATCTAATCATGCACTTAAGTGTATAAAAGCTACTCTTTTAAAAAGTCATTTTCTCTGAATTTGTACTTGTAAAAAATCAAAATTAGATTTGAATGTGTATGCGTTATAGGAAACCTGAAATAGGAGTGGCTATTTATAAAATAGATGCTTTTTCTGTTTTGTTTTGTTTTGTTTGTAAAATGCTCATAACTAAAGTTGTCTCATGGTCCAAAATAACTACCAATCTTATATGTACATTCAAAAAAGGAAGAGAGTGAGGAACAATACTTCCTTTTTAAGGACCCCCATTTGTAGACACTGTCCAGGAGTCTGGCAATTTCATTTCTGTTTGGAGGTTCCTGGCCAGAATCTAGTTACATTGTCAGGCTTATCTAAAGACTTAGAAATGCACTTTTTATACTGGGTGGTTATTTTCCCAGCTAAAATGCAACGTTTCCATTACTATCAAAGAAAAAAGAGCAGAATATTTAATGGGGAGCATTAACTGATCTCTGCCTCTTAAGGGGCATGAAATTTTCAAAATTACATGATGCTTTGCTCAAGGAAAGCATTCTTTCTTTTTCTGACAGCATTCTTTCTGAAAGAAGGAGAGCTTTCTTTGTACCTTCTTTTGTAACTGGAGATTTGTGTGGTGGTAGCCTTCCATGAAGACTGCTTAATATAGTCACTTAACCAACACAAACACATTAGCTATATACTAGCTATTGAACTACTACGAATTTCAAGACATACTTTCTTGCTGTACCTATGCTAAAGTACTGGCTTCTAGAGTTATGTGTTTCAAATTCTGGGAAAGCTTTTAAAAACAGTATGTACTATAGACTCTTTCAGATGCAGTTGTACGAGAATCTCTAGAGTAGAAGTCCAGGGTGGGAGGTGTGTATCTGTGTGAAGTATCCTCAGGTCATTCTAATAGTTAGTAACTTTGGTTAAGAACCACTGCAATCAATAGAAGACAATAGTTCTTTCTTAAAGTGAGAGCTCAGATACCTTCAGATAAGCATTGTCTATCAGCTGTATGCCAGACATTTGTATAGATGCTAGGAATAGCATGATAAATACAAAATTCTCCACAAAGAAGTTCTTACAATCTATCAAAGACACAAGCATTTAAAGATGTTACTGTATTACATTATGGTGAGCACCAATGGTGCAAGAACACCAGTTACACATGTCTAATTTAATCAGGTAGGATGAGGAGGATCTGGAGACTGGATAGTTAAGCCTTAAAGGCGCAGTGTACCAGGAAAGTCTTATTAGGAGAGGAAGTAGGCTGAACAGTAGCTTAGGTGCTTGCCATCCTGAAAGGCTCAAGTTTATTCTATAGAAAGCACCATGTATTCCAAAACTTGTAAAGATGGGAAGTGTCTTTTTAATGTGTTTTTTTAGAATAGCAACTAGCAGAAGTAATGTGTGTACATGATTCCCAGGGAGAGTGTGTAGCACAAAATCAGGATTGAAGTGGGAACCCCAGGTGTTACGAATAGAAAGACCAAGTTAGAAAGATGTTAAAGAGTTCTAGTCAAAATAGAACTAGAAAATGAAAGAGTACTGTTATTTATAGAAACTAAGACAAAACTAAGAGCTTTATGGATGATGACTGAGCATAGTTCTAATCTGAATGTTGTAGTAAAATTCTGTTGTTGTAAAGTTATAGCCTGATAAAAGTAAATCAAGGTTTTTTTGTTTTTGTTTTTGTTTTTTTTTTTGCAGTACCAGTGCTTGAACTCAGGGCCTACACCTTGAGCCACTCCACCACCACTTTTTGTGTTAGGTATTTTCGAGATAGGGTCTCATGAACTATTTGCCAGAGGTGGCTTTGAACTGCAGTCCTCCTGATCTCTGCCTCCTGAGTAGCTAGGATTACAGACCGGCGTGAGCCACTGGCACCTGGCCTAAGACAAGTTTTGAAGCAGTAGCTTCCTGCTTAAGAGTTGTAAAGCCTCCATAGAGGAGTGAACAATGAAATTATATTTTATAATGTTCACCAAGCATGACCTTTAATAATGGTTCTTTATGTGTTGTCAGTCAGAGGGAAAAGGGCAGAGTTCCTGGGTCTCCAGTATGGCTTGGCTGGAATGTATCTTAACCATGTTCTTAACTCAAGCTAGTTTGTCATTACATTAGGAACAAAAGGGTTGAAGATTGCTGGTGTTTAGATTTGTTCACACATGAACAAATTGTTGAATGCATATAAGTGCATATTAAGTACATTACAGAATTTATAATTTTTTATAATCATTTTATAACCAAATGGTTGCCAAAACAACCACTATTACAAAGGAACAGTATTTGGAATTTGTTTATCTTACTTAGAAAATAGTTCTCATATGTTAAGAGGTTGGTGACTGCTTTAGAGGACCTAAAATATAGAATTAAACTTTACTTTCTTATATGACTTTAGAACTTTTAAATACTGAGGTTCTTGATTCTTCTAGGTTTATGTGTGGATCTATGACCCAGTTCACATTAAAACATTTGTCATGGGATTAATTCTTGGTAAGTAGCAGGATATAAATAGTTTTAAAGTACAGTCTGATCACTTCTCACTCTCTGGGCTAAGATCAAATGTAAAGTACAGTCTAAAGTCAGAATATAAATGATAAACTAAGAAAAATATTTGCAACATTTTTAAAGATCTATAAGAGATTAACAACCTGATAGGAAAGTGGTAAACGTAGCTCATAGGTAAAGAAATACAATGACTAATTATCATGAATGATAATCATAATAAAGTAAAACAATGATTAATAGGATTACAAAGTTTGCATTATCTTTTTTTAAATGCATATACCCAGCAGTTCTACTTTTAGGAATTTATTCCATATTTATCCATTTTGTGCATAGAGTTCACAAAGTGTATGCATTTACATGTTACCTACTTTAATCTCAGTCCTTCAGATTATATTGAAGAGGGTAATATAGCTGATAGCTTTCAGATTTTTAAATAATTACAGCTTGTGGTCCATTATTTCCACTTAAAAGAAGTCATTCTATTACGCTTTTTATTTGTTTTGGAGATCAGACCCTGAGCCTTGTGCATATTAGACAAGCCCTCTACCACTGAACTATGTCTGTAATCACACTTATACAAATGTACATGTACAGGGATATTGGCACTATTACTGTCTTTTATAGGTTAGAAAAACTTATTTAGAAAAAAATTCTTTGTAGTTAGTTTTAATTATATATAGGCAGTCTCTGGAAATACAAATAAGCTTAATAGTATTTAACTTCTAAAGAATGGAACAGAATTTGGATGAAGACTTGACTATACCTTTTGGTTCAGTTTCTTTTGTTTTGTTTGGTTTTACTGGGTATTGAATTCAGGGCCTTGTGAAGCTAAGCAAGTGCTCTTATCACTTGAACCACACCCCTAGCCTTTTTATTTATTTTTCTTTTAGGAGCACTGTCGTTTGAACTCAGGTCCTCACACTTGCTAAGCAGGCACTGTACCACTTGAGACATTCTCCAGCCCTTTTTTGCTTCAGTTATTTTTCATCTAGAGTTTTGTGTTTTTGCCTGAGGCTAACCTCAAAAACACAGTCCTCCTACCTATACCCAGCTGTATAGCTGAGATTATAGACATGAATCACCATGCCCAGCTCTATTTTGTTTTTGAGTCTTCAGCTACCTTTAGCTAAACTGGCCTCAAACTCGAGATGCTACTACGTCCTCTTTCTAATTAGCTGAAATTATAGATGTACACCAATATGCCTGACTTTTGGTTTGTTTTTTATTTGGATTTTTGAATATTGGTATGTATTTCTCTAAGTTCAGGAGGGGCTGGAAAAGAATGATTTAACAAATAGGAAAAAAGATACTAGTTAAAATAAGCTTGGTCAGTATGATAGAATCCCATTCAAAATAACTTTTTTTTTGGTGGGACTGGGGTTTGAACCTCAGGGCTTTGTGCATGCAACATAGACACTCTGCTACTTTAGCTACACTTCTAGTCCATTTTGATCTGGTTATTTTGGAGATGAGGATCTTCTGAACTATTTCCCCTAGGCTGGCCTTTAAATTTAATCCTCCAGATCTCAGCCTCCCAGGTAGCTAGGATTACTGGTGTGAGTCACTGGTGCCCAGCTCAAAATAACTTTTATGATAAGAGTTGAAACTCAGTTAAATCCAAATTGCTCATGTCTATCAATACTTACAATGTACTAGTCACTTTACTAGATATTTTACATACAGTGTCTCCTTTCATCCTCACAACATTTAAGAACAGACACTTATTAAATACAGGTAACTTAGCTTCGAAGGGGTTAATAAATTGCCCACTGTTATTTAGCATATACATAATAGACCTAAAATTTGAATCCTGTTCTTACTCTAAAGACCTAATAATCATACTTCTAGACAATTCTTTTTCCTAATTAAATGTAATTTAGACTGAAAATTCTATCCTAGTTTAAGAATAGTATGAAATGTTAGTATTCAATGTTAGGTTGAATAATATGAAATTGTTCATAATTGGTTGTTTTTTACTTACAAATGGCAATTTTTTGTTCCACAGTCATCTCCCTCAAAAACATGCTTACTTTTATTGCAACCAAGCCATTTAAATTTTCATTATAAAAGTTTTCTGTATAACTTTGTCATCTTTGTTTCAGTGATTGCAGTAATAGCAGCCACCCTGTTCCCTCTGTGGCCAGCAGAAATGAGAGTAGGTGTTTATTACCTCAGTGTGGGCGCAGGCTGTTTTGTAGCCAGCATTCTTCTTCTTGCTGTTGGTAAGTATCATCATTTGTAATACTGACCTTAGTAAGGTAGGTTTCAAGCAGATGGACTGTAATCTGGAGCATCAGTAAAGCTTAATAGCAAAATTAATATAAGTAAATTAAGAAAAAATATAAGTAAATTAAGAAGACTCCTAATTTCTGGGTCAAATTCCCAAACCTCAGACTAAATTAGATTTGATCTATTCTGAAAAAGAATTTTCCATTTTTAAATTTATTTTTTATTGATATTATGTTTGATTACCAAATCATAATTGTATATAGAGAGGGTACAATGTGATATTTCCATACATGTATACTATGTAGATTGTTCAAATCAAGTTAATTACCATAAACTTCACCTTTCTTACCTGCCATTTTTTATGGTGAGATATTTGAAATTTGCTCTCTTAACTTATTTTGAAATAAGTTACGTCCTTATTATATCTTAATCCGAAAATAGGTGTGTATGCTTTAAAAATCAGCTACAGTGTGGACTTGTGGCATGACTCAAGCAGTAGAGTGCCTTCCTAGTAACCCTGAGGACATAAGTTCATACCCCACTACCACCACACAAAAAAAAGTTAGCTACAACGTGGATTTAATATTTTCGTAGTGGTGAATCATGTACTACATACATATAAAACTTTAAAGCATTTTTGTATTTGACTTAAAGCAAATTCAACTTGTATTAAATATTTAAAATCTACAAATGTACCCAGTAAATGATTCTAAACAATTGATTTGCTGCTTTAGGGAAAATCAGTAATTTTCATTCAGGTATCAAAGTAAATCCTAGGTACATTAATGATTTAAATTTTTTAAGACTCAAATGGGAAAATATAAGTGAATTTTTTTCTTTTGTTATATCTCTAGATTATTGGAATCTTTCATAGTTAAAAAGCAGTGTAAAACTAATAATCAAAAAAAGAGCTGGGTAATCTCAGCACTGAGGAAGCTAAGGCAGGAGGATCGCCATTTCAAGGCTCCATAGCAATTTCCAGTCTGGCCTGGGCTAGATCCTCAAAAAACAGCAAGAATAACAACAGAAAAAAGACTAAAAGATTTGGATCACATAAGAATTTAAAAACCCTTTTCACATCAGACAAAATTGAGTTTTAAGAACAAGCAACAAAAGAACCAGGTTCTATTGCTTAGGCCTGTAATCTCAGCTACCTGGAAGGGTTAAGTAGAAGGATCATGGTCTGAGGCTACCCTAAACAAAAAGCATAAGACCCATCTAAAAAGTAACTAAAGCAAAAAGGGCTGAGGATATGGCTCAAGTGGTAGAGAGCCCTCAGTTCAATCCCCAGTACTGCCAAAAACTAAATAAAAAATAAAAAAATTTATCTCTACTCTTAGAAATATATGAGAAACTGAATGTTAAATATAGGCGAAGATGTGAGTGCTCTTTCATCTCTAGAAGAGAGTTTAAAAAAACGATTAATACAAAAATGCTCATATTTGTGAACAATAAATCATGATGAGATTTTTTTTTTTTTTGCCTATTAAGGAGATTTTTTTGAAATGTTAATACTTAAACAACAGGAGAATTTGACTAGATGGAAATGCATCCACATGTGAAGAGTGGGATACTTATGATTTTAATTTTCTTATTTATACTTATCTTTTTTCCAGAAGAAAACATGTTACTTAATGGGGAGGGGGGAGGAATAATTATCTTTTTCACCAAGTCTTAAGAATACTTCCTTATAAAAGAAAAAAACAGCACACATGCTATTGGCTTAACATGTGTTATTAGAGAACATAATTAATTGACTAAGATTTATCTGAACAGTGTGCATGTTATTCTCAGATTCTATAATAGATAATAGATTTTAATTTTTATAAAATGTTACTCCTATAGACCTAAATAATTTCTCTTTGTACATCCTTCATTCTGGGCATCAAGATTTCCTTAGTTGGTGCCACCATCCACGGACCCATGAGTTCATCCAGCATCTTTCAGTTCATCTTCATTATGGATCTCCTTTTGTCTCTGTAATCGCTAAGTGAGGGTATAAGTACCCTACAAAAGCAAAAATATCCAGAGTGTAGGAAAGCAATGGTGCAGCTCTGCTCTTTTCTTTTTAAAAGGCTTCCTTATTCTTCACATTTTTTTCTTTTCTTATACCATGATCTTATGAATGCTTAAGTTTCCAGCTGATTGCGAGTTTAACATCTCAGAATGTATAAATTACAAGTCTGTATCCATGAACCAGCAACCAAATGAAAAGAATGGAAGTAATGTTTTTTTGAGAGTGCCGTTAACAGTATGCTCTTAAGTTCAGAGGAGAATGCTCTATTCGTAAAACATTGTTATGGCTACTACACTAGTCAGGATTTAAATATTCATATTTGACTTACATGAAATGTGCAAGTAAAGCTAAATGTTTTCCCTTGCTTTGTATTAGCAATATTCTCTGCTATCTGAGTCAGTGCTTGTATTCCATTAGAGAATTTTTCTTCCCACAGCTCGTTGTATTCTGTTCCTCATCATTTGGCTCATAACTGGAGGAAGGCACCACTTCTGGTTCTTGCCAAATCTGACTGCAGACGTGGGCTTCATTGACTCCTTCAGGCCTCTGTACACTCATGAATACAAAGGACCAAAAGCAGACTTAAAGAAAGATGAGAAATCTGAAACCAAAAAGCATCAGAAGTCCGACAGTGAGGAAAAGTCAGACAGTGAGAAAAAGGAAGATGAGGAGGGAAAAGTAGGACCAGGAAATCATGGAACAGAAGGCTCAGGTGGTGAACGACATTCAGACACAGACAGTGACAGGAGGGAAGATGACCGATCCCAACACAGTAGTGGAAATGGGAATGATTTTGAAATGATCACAAAAGAGGAACTAGAACAGCAAACAGATGGGGATTGTGAAGAGGAGGAGGAAGAAGACAATGATGGAGAAACACCTAAATCTTCACATGAAAAATCATAACCTGGCTAATTTTGGGACTGAATAAATGCAAGAGGTTGGATTTTCTATGTTGGCTGATCATCATAATGTATACATGGCATTTGTAGCATCCTTTAAATCCATTTACTGAAGTGCATTTGACATGCAAGCAGTTAGAGTCAGTCGTTCATTTTATAGAATATTGGTACTATTCTTGGTACAGTCTAAAGCCATTAATAAGTTTTATCCGTTTGATAATTTTCTAGTAAGTAGGTCTCATTCATTTTGATAGATGTCAAAGATGCATTTTCCACATGACATTTAGATTAAGGGCATTTTTGATAGTTATACGGCTTTTTACTGTTAGACTAATCAAAATAACTTTAAAAAGAAAAAGAAACTCCCAGCATTTGAGATTATGCATAGGTATGTAGCCATTTCACAGTTTCTTTAGAATGAAATGCTTCAACTCATTATTCTCGATAGTTATGCCTTTGTTTTTCTTTATAAAATTATACCAGGAAATTTTAAGATTATGGGTTAGCAGTGATCAAAAGCATTTTGTGGAAACAAACCAACTAGTAGCAGTGCAGTAGCACTTTTAATTTAGCTACAAATTCTCCTTTTCCAACTTAGGAAATCCAAACTGAATTGTATGTTTTATTCTGAGAAAGATGGTCATCTCCAGCAGAGAGTAAACAGCATTGATTGAAAGGTGATGGCTCTTCTTCTTTTTCCCATCTCCTTACCGTAACGTAAAGTGTATTCTGTACATAATTTACAAATAAAATAAACATTTTATTTTAATTGTTACTTATTATTTAGACATTTCTCAACACTTAAATTTGTACAATTAAGACCATGTAAGGGTATGTTTTTTAGAGAAATGGAAGTTTCAGTAATCCACAGAAGATCTGTGATCTTTCTACAGCAGCTTCAGTTTTGTGCCAACATTCCATGTATTTGAATATGAGTAAAAACTGATCCTTATTAAATAGGAGCAGACTTTAAAGTAGCTATTTGTACGCCTTAATGTTCATTTTGATTTATTTTAAATCTTCACATTCAGAAATGGGGTCCTGTATTATCACACCAGGAAGTACTGCTGTGAAAGACAATTTACTGTTCTAAAATAAATTTAAAATAAAGGCTATAAAAGAAAACATAGAGAACCATTAGACTCTAATTGTTTGAAACTAGTTTTACTGTTTGATTTTGTCTGCATACCTTAGTTGCAAATCTTAGAAAAATCTTGTTTACTGATGAGCATAATCATTCCTTGGCATTATATTCTTGCAAACTGGTAATAAATGTTAAAGGGCTTTCCTTCAGTCACAGTGAGAGCATTTTTTTTGTAGAAGAAATAGGTGGAGTATATCAGACTTTGTCTTTCTTTAGGCTTTTTTCCATCTAAGTGTTTCACTAAAGATGTTAATTCTTCTAATTGTGAAAAAAATACATATTCTGTATATTGATGCATCTGATTAACCATGGCTCAACTGCTGCTTTGGAGTATTCCCTGTAAGTGGACAGAAGTGTGGCTATTTGATGTTAATTCAGTACTATCCAGGCTGCAGTCATTTTAAGAGTTTTCTCTTAGCAGATACTCACTGATTTTAGTGCCTGGGTATTTTCCCCTCACATATGGAGAGCTTTACGGCTTTATTTCCACAGTTAGGATAAGTACAATTGTAGCTTCTGAGTTTCTAAATCATCAGTAACATTAATAACTACTTTAGGGTTATGAAAATGGTACTGAAAGTGTTTTTGGAGAAATAAACTGGGTTTTCTTGACCTTTACTACTATGGCAATACCCAGGCACTCAATATTTATCTGAAAGTTCTTTATAACATATGTGTCTAGTTTTAAAGATGTGGTGAACACAGATAGGAAAGAAAGTCAGCTTCTTATTGATGTATGTGGATTCTTACAGAATGTTAGTACAAACTATAAATATTTGGTGATCCCTGAGGGGAAATGTCTTACTGTGGTTAGAAATTGAGTTAAAAATTTCAATTTAGTTTCTGTTGTACTCTTCAAGGTTAGATACTTTAAACAAATAAAAAATCAAAAGGCTGCCTCTGTTACAGTCCTCAGAAGAGTAGATGGCTGTCTTTGTTGGCTAACATAAATGTCCTCATGCCAGAATATGGAGAGTTGTTTACAATAGTGAGATTTTTAACACAGGAGAGAACTTTAGTTTGGTATACTGTTATAAGTAGGAGCACAAAGCTTTTTAGAAAATGTAGGATTGATTGTGGAGTGAGTATAAATTCGTCTCCTGAAGCAGGATTGATTTACCAAAAGTTTAAGTCCAGGTGATAAGAAAAATTCTTATGTGAATGTTCTTAAAGTGAATGTATTAAATAGGGTGCTTTTTCCTTTTCCCTCCCACTGAAATCTTTGATTTTCAAATTATAAGGCCTTCAAGGTGATGTTAATTGAATAGATTGATTACTTACGAATTATCACTTCAGAAAGTAATAAATTTTAATATATATTACATTGAAATTATATGGTGGTGATGAACTTTGGTGTTTTCTCCCTTTGTGGTTTTACATCGTGAGTACTAGTTAGCTGCTAATTTGAAAAGATCATGTCTTCTGTAAATTGAATTATCTTTTTTTAATCTTTATTATGAATTGAAAAACAGCATATACAGTTGATTCTCGTTGTTCACTGTCATCATGTTTTGTGAAGTCACTGTGAACATTAGCCAGTACTGAACAGTTGCTTCTAGGGGGAATACAGAGCTAGGTTTCTGCAAGCTTCTGGTCACATTTTCATCAATCTATATGTAAATGTAGCTTTCCACTTTAAAGATATTTATATTATTGATTCACTAACATACTAATTACCAGCCAATATCACTGTAATTCATGCCTAAATGAATTTTTTTTTGTGGCAGTACTGGGCTTTGAACTTGGGGCTTCTTGGTTTCTATACAGGCCCTCTACCATATGAGCCACACCTCCTGCCTTTTTTTTTT